AAAGTTTACATTTTGTACTGCTTTTAAGCTAGCGCAACACACATGTTGGTAAACATGGATCTTCTTGCAATTTATCGCTGGCGTTTTCTTCGTTTTGCCTGCGACTATGTGGTTCATCATTAACATGGGAATCCTTTGATTAAAACTCTTCTGATTACCTTTGAACGTGTAATACACTTGCAAAATTCTCATATAAAATTCTCTGGGGTAAATATCTTTTTTTCTAGTTACTTTATACCATGTTTTCATAGTGTACATTTAGCGTACAGTTAACACACAACTTTCCGATCTCATACGTATATCTATATAATAATCTATATGTACATTTACAAATAACAATGTCAATATACGCAAAAATATTATAAATATATAAATATGTAATAATTATAATATGTATAATTATAAATATATATTCATTTATTAATATTATATCTGTATAAATATTGTTTATAAATGTACATATACATATAAATATATAGAAGGATAAAATAAAGTATCAAGTATCATGCTATGACAAATAACACATAAGAAAATATAACTGAATTATAATTCGAAATGCAACAGAAATATTTCAAAGCTAATTTACAACGAAATGTACATTTGAAGTTGAATCGTTTACATTGGAGACCTAAGCAGTGTAAATACGACTTCGTGCATCACGACACGTGTTTATAAAATATATGGACAAATACGTATATTCAGTAAAGAGAATATTATTATACTTATTAATGACATTCTGCAAAATTTCTCTCGTTAATATAGGAACGCTTTACCACAGTTAAACACTGAATTTTATATACAAGAAGAATTTAAATAATATCTACGTTTCCAATTCATCTCGCTGTTAAAATATCTGAACTTTTCAAAAGACTTAATTTCGATGAATAAATCTATCACATATTTATCTCCTAAAATGTCAACAGTGAAATACGTTAATAATGATTAATTACTTCTCTTTTATACCAGTATAATATAAATATACATTTTCGCAAAACTATTATCGTATTAACATTGTGCGTTCTTGATTATTATAATTGTGTTAAATTTTCAACTGTTCTTAAGATAAATTAAAGAAAAATTGTATTTCTTTATACTCTTCTCTGTTCAAAATTATCTGATATCCTGCATAAAATTCATGTAGAAGAAATTATATATTTTTCAGTTGTAATTATGTCTTTTTCAATTTTGTCAGTATACGAATACTTGTAATATGATATATTAAGATTGAATTATTTCGTTAGTGATTTTAAAGCTCAGATTTTCTCTCTATTTTATTCAGTTTATGTAGTTCGAATATGAATGGTGGTTCGACACAAACAGGTAGGGGAATATGTGCTTATTAACAATCCAACTTCCGTTGCCTAAAGCAGTCCTGCAGTACACACGAATAAACACTGTGCTTCGTTGCATATTACAGTGCATAAACACACATTGAGTGTTTTCTGAGTAATCAGCATACCAGATTGAAATCAACACGACGAAATTTCAATTTTAATAACAGAGTTTAATAACATGCGAAACTAATTTGGAAATAAATCATATAAAATCAAACTTGAAAGATCAATTTGAAGCAAAGTGTATAATATTAATCTGTTTCTAATAAATTAAAAAATCTTCAATTCTCTTAAATGTATTATATAAACGAAAATATTTATTTTTTGTATAATTTTTGGATATAAACACTAACAATTCCGATAGAAACGTTATGATTTGAATAATTTTAAAATAAGAAAACTAAAACTAGTTATTTTGAAATTGCAGCAGTTCTTGTATTAAGAAAACATTGGTTTGAAGAAATTTCTCCTGCAAACATGATTGTCTAGTTTTCTTAAATGCATTAACCTCGTATTAAATAATTTTTTCATACATATAATGAACAAATATTTAGGTGTTTTTATTTAGAAAATGAAAAATATAATAAATAATATTGATTTAAATATTATTTCACACGAATTTGCTAAAGTCTTATAAAGATAATAGAAATTAATAAAGAAATCTATTGCAACAATTTCTGAATCAAGTTTATTACGTAAAGAAAGAATTCTGATTGTATGAAAAAATTGTATAGTTAATATACGATACCTTTCACTTTAAGAGGGCTTCCTACTTTGTCCTCATAAAAAGTGCTTATTTTTGTGATCTACTTTTCGGAGACTATAAATTGCACTTTTCTGAAGTTTTCTACATGCTTACGAAGCATTCCTTGAGCTACCATTCTTCAGATTTCGACTAAATTTAGAGTGGAGAACGTGGGCCAAGATTTAACGCTATCGAAATAAAGGTTTATTAAAATAATTAATTAGATAGA